CTAACTACTATTTACTATATAGTTAACTACTATTTACCAGGCGCTAACTACTATTTTTCTACATGCCCACACTATGGGTGTTGGGAGGGTCGAGTAGGTCTCAGTGGCCGTGACAGGCAGGCACACGGCAGCCCTTAAGTGGTGTGAGCTGTGGCTGGACCATTCTGCTCCCACCATCATTGCTCCACCCAGCGCCAGCTGCCTGGATTTCCACTTTCCACTGCCACAGACTGAACTGGACAAGCCCCAGCGTGTTTACATTTGCAGAGGAGAGAGCCCCACCTTTGCTCAGGTCACCTGAGGGTTACAGCTCAGGGTGGGTTACCCCTCACCCTATCCCCAACCTGACCCAACTCCTGTCCCTACCCCTGATCTTACTCCCATCCCTACCCCTGTCCCTACTGCCCACCTGACCCAACCCCTGACCAGTCACTACCCCCGTTCCTATCCCCCACCCTACTCCCTACCCCTGACCTGACTCAACCCCTGACCCTACCCCCATTCCTATCCCCAAATGACCCAACCCCTGACCCTGCCTCTGACCCTACCCCTGGCCCCCCCCCGCCCGTCTCTACCCCTGACCTGGGCAGGCCCTCGGTGTGCAGCCAGGCACGGAGCAGGGACTGGCTCTGAGCTCCAGCTTGACAGCTCAGCAGCTGGGAAGTCATGTTTCTACCACCTCAGCTTTTTCTAATAAGGCCTATTTTTCTCACTTGTCAAGAGAATTAAATGATGCAAAATGTATAATAGTTAAAGCTCAACAAGCCTGTTTAGGAGGTTTTACAGACTCTACCCTCTTTTCCAAATTGTTCTTGTTAGCAAACTAGCAAATTACCTAGTGTGGTGTTACCTGCCTTTTGTGTCAGGGCTCCAGGGAAACAGTCTATCCTTCTCCCTTCTCTTTGAGAAGATAAACAGTGGCTTGACTTAGCTTTTGCCTCTTTTAAGCAAACTCACCGGAAAGCCTTTTCACATCACACCTGTGTGTCTGGCAGTGTGTTCCTTGAGTGCTGCAGAGAAATCCTTAGTAAATGGCTCAAGGCCTTGCTTACATTTTCCTCCCTGGCATCGTGCCCTGTGACTGGTGCCTGGGGAAGAAGCAGATGTTCCAGTATCTGCACATGGTTTAGGCTGATGGTTGATAGCAAACCTGTGGTCGTCTGTTTCTCCTCAGTTACCGGCTTTATGTGAGTGGTAAGGACGGCGTCTATGCTTGTGTAATAGGAAGCAAGACCCAGGCATTTCAGAAGAGATGGTGTGTGCTGTACCAAAATCAAGTGATTGTCACCCTCTTTCTGGGGAGGCGCTCTGAAGGACGGTCTGCCCTGGCGCTTCTCTCAGGTGATGGGACAGAGTTAGGTCTGCTGGCTGGATAGCCTGATTACCTGGGGACATGTTATCTGGTTTCGTGGGCCTCAGATTCCTCAACTGTTAAGATTGAGGAATTTAGACAAACCTGTAAGAGTCATATTAGCATGAAAATTCTCCCCATCAGTGAGCCCCCTAGAGTCGGCTTCATGGGCTTTGTGATTCCGAGTGTCTGGATAGCAAAAGACTAACACTTACTCCTTTGTTTTTTTTTTTTTTCTGAAGAAGGTTTTTGTCAGCTCAGTGGTAGAAACAAGGTGTAGACTACAGTTTAACCCACTGAGACTCAGCAAGGGCTCCTGATGCTCATTGGCACCAGAGCAGTGACATCTGCCAATCGAAGCAGCTTCAGCGTTTCTTAATTTAGAATCATCTGTTCTTAGCCATTGGTTTTGGTTATTTGAAAACCAATAATACCTCATTTCTTTACTGTTTACATATAAATTTACATATAAATTTCCAGTTTATATGTTTAAGTTAATTTATTATTTCAGGTTAATTGAGGGGCAGTTTATATTTTTAACAGATCAGCAGAATCTTTCTATAAAATCTATCTAAACATGTACAATTTTTACTCATGCTCTTTTAAAAACTAATAGGCCCTAATGTCAAGCAGCAGTACTGTGTGCTTCTTTGTGAATAGTCCTAGAAATAGTTAAGTGGTCATTGTGCTTCCACTTAAGTCTCCTAGGAATAAATCCATGTCACACGTGAACACATCATTTCATCAGACAGACCTTCCACCTCACCGCTAGCTCTTGGGCCATCTGAGCAGGTGCTCGCCCAGAGCTCAGGGGGACACTGATGCTCCAGAGCAAAACCAGCAGGAGGAGCCTTATGGAAGCAGGAGACGTCAGAACTTCAATGCTAGACTGTTCCCTTCACAGACCAGCTATGGCTTGAGTCTAAAAATAGCTACTCCTGTGAGTA